GAAATGCGCTAAAAAAGCTATCGCTATTCTAACAGCTTCTCGAAGCATGTCGTGCACAATTGCTAGGGAAATCCTGTTATTGAGATCCCTGCGCTGCAGTTACCGCGCAAGCAGCTTGGGCAAACATAAGCATGCGGAAGAAGTGAAAAAATTTATAACATTCGGTTGCTCTCTGAAAGACAGTTAAAAAGAAATATGCGCTGTTTAAAGAGGAGCAGGATGGCCTACTCGTTTCCTCACATCCATAAGTTCACATTTCATTGCAAAAACAGCATTGTCGGCAAGACGTTTTATTTCATAGACAGCGCCGAAGCCACCTTTGCCAAGCAGTTTTATCGTCTAAAAATTTAAACCTTGTGCATTCCCATGCATTCTGGTATGTTTTCGGCTAGTGGACAGATCCCCGTAGCCCTACTGGCAGGGAATATCCACCACACTGATTGCCCGAGTGATCTTGACATACTTTGACAGTTCGCAAGATTTTACGAATTTGCTTCGACAACAAACAAGGCAATTCCGCATAGCAGAGAGAATTCGAAATTAACAGGAAGATCTTTGAAACCCAATCTCATGTCGCTTCTTTAGTCCCACTAGAATAATTGCTACCATCCAGTGAGACACTTAAAAATTATTAATATTTTTTTCTCCTCTCTTCTTTTTTGTTTGTACTTTACTTTCTCTTTTACATACAAGTAAGCCCGTATTTTTAATGTGAAAGTGGTCCACGCCATATTCCTTGCTCCACTCCCGCGTCCTCAATCATATCGCTTTGCCTTGTTTGCCTATTTTATGTGATAACATTACCACTACCTCGTACTCGGCTTTTTTTGTGATAACGCTTTCGCCTGGCTGCGGCAATTTCTCGCTGAGTTTCTTGTTTGTCATGTGCTGAAAACTCAGACAGTCTGGCAAGTAAGTATTTGCAGGATGCTGCAGAAACTCTTCTGGGTAACTTTTTTGATCATTGCACATTGATTTATCAGTGAAGACTCTTTTACATACTTTTAGAATATCGTATTTATCGAGAAACCTCGACCGGAGCATTCCATGTCAACTGGTTCATTAAACTAACAAAAGTACAAATAATCAAATTTCTCGCGAACTCCCTTATATAGCATGGACCTGCAGCTGATCAAAATATCAAAGTAAGCACCACCAAACAATTTGCACAAATGCAAATTTCATAAAAAATTAAAAGTTCATGGTTTTGGCTGCCACTGTGAATGGAAATTGGAGTGTAAAAGCAACGTTTTATACGTATAAGCACAAACGTTCAAGTATGGAAATCACTGGCGAAGCGCACAACAATACAATCGCGCGTTTTTGTATTATTTCGTGCTGTAATAAGACCGCTTGGGAACCGATTGGCTAGCATTTGTGACACACTGATTCTCGAAGTTCAAGAAATTTTACAACTGCATGGTACGTGGACAGCGAACATCCCGTTAAA